GAAAGTTTGACTATAGTATGAACTAAAAAGGCTGGTTCTGGCAAAAATAACAAATTAAATCTACAGAAGAGTTCACAGCTGAAGCCCATCCATCGGGACTGCTAGAGAGGAAAACAAAAATTCCTATACCTGTTGCCAAATGGTTGAACAACCTGACAGAAATCAGAATCAAACTCGTATCTCTGCATACTAGTCATATACAACAATAAGGCATCAAAGCAGTACTTACAGCTAGAGAATATCAGAGGGCAAGAGTGTTCATCCATTGGGAAGTTGTGCAGCTGCAGCTGGCACTCAGCATTGATGGTAAGCCTATGGAGAAACCAAGCAAGTATTACTATACGTCAGCACAATGAACAATCAGGGAACAAGGAAGGGTAGCCTTAGGTATCATGCAAGAGCACTTTGACTTTTGTAAGTAAGGCCCAAACGGAAAAGACTTGATTTACAGACTGTTCATTGGCCATTTAGGTCTTATCCAAATCAATAATAATTATCTAAAACCACAAATAATTTCAGACACATCATTAAGAATTTCTTGATCCTCAGAAATGTGTTTTTCTCTAGACAATTCATCATTGAGGACATGGGATGAAAACAACTATTCTTTACAAAAATAGCAGGAAATATGGTATGCGATTCCACAAAATTGAAACCTCATAAAGAATCTTATAAGGAACATTCTCCACATTTCCTTATAGTGTGAATTTAAAATTCTTTCACACCCAAAAACAGACAAAGAGGATGGAAAGGCATGGAGCGTGGCTGAACCTTGTCCACTTTCTCCTGAATACAAAACTCTAATCAATATCTGACAGAACCAGGGCATACAGTAGTTATTGCTTCCATGCCATACCAATTCTGACAATTAAGTCAGATAAATTGTTTTTTAATTAGAAAGAGCTACCAATGACCTATGATCATTCATTCTAACAGCTCCTCCTATGTAAAAAGGAGGCAGACCTGAGTGGGCAAAAAGGACTGAAAACTTCTTTCGCAAACTAAAAGTGCTTATTCAAACAATCCACTGGGTTAAGTATTACCCCTTTTTTAGCTGTTTTAGGAAAATTTTACAGTCCATTCAACAAATAGTCTCTTTAGCGACAGGTATGTAAGTCTAACTTCTATTACGTAGATACCTAACTTGCTGTGAAATACTGAAACAGGACTTAATAGAAACCCCCCCCCACAACTAAACACAAGAATACCCAAACAAACAAAGAACCCCAGAAAAAAAATACCCAAAAAATAACCCCAGCCCAACTAATAGGGTATTGGAGTTGATGTCCTGATCACTGAAGCTTTAGCTAAAGGCTATTGAAATAAGCAACAGCTGTTTACACTGGAGCAAGCCTAAGAACAGAAAGGCACAAAAAATATCAGTAGCTTGTCTAGCTATTTTATTCCTTTCTTATTGTTTGCCAAAGACTTTCTGTTGAAGACCAAGTGCAATTGCAAGTATGATCAGAATATGCTTTTGCACTGAGAGGGCTGAACACAATCACTGGAGAACATGTAGTGTGAAAGGGATGTTTCTGAAACAGCTTGCCGTGTGGAATATGGCTTATGCAAAACTCCCCTTCAGAGCAATTCATCTCTTCCATAAATAAATACATATTTTGTTTTCCATGGACTTTTTTATGCAAATGAATACAGTATTTCTAATACCCTAGAGTTGGTGGTATCACAAAGATAAAAAAACTCTGAAAGCCTTTCCTCAAGCAATTCATCCTGTGATGAGATATGACAGAATATCTTGCAGTGTGACTTACTTGAAGAATCAAGTAATGGCATTAGCATGAATCTAGAAATACTTTATCCAACCCTGCATCTAAAGGTTTCTGACAGGTTTTATGTGGCTACATGCTCTTGATTTTATTATAGGCACTAAAAAGTGGAACTTCTACAATTTAGACAGACCTATTTCTCAAACTTCTTTTTTAGAAATACAAGACTTTGGTTTTTTTAAACTCAGCAGTACTTACACCTGAATATTTCATATTTGTCAAGCACGGTCAGGTAAGCATTACGAAGAACACAGCAGAGGAGAACAGATACCATTGAAATTTACTACTACTACTACAGCAGAAGCAAGAGAAGCTATCATCACTGCACCTCGCTGAGTGCTCACCTGAGAGTGTACAAGATCTTGCCATCATTCCATATGCGGAGGAGTTGGTTGGGGGTGGTGATCCAGTGAGCCTCTGCTGTCTTTGAGTTTCGAAATATTGTGTCTGGGATCCAAATCAAGCCAACCATGTTGCTGTTCAGAGTCAGTATTTTCATGGTGCTGTTGAAGCGAAGACGGCTATCTGTCCACGTCTGGGCGAAAAATATATCAATTTGATATTCCTGCAATGAAAGCATACACAAATTGAAATCAGTCCCACACTTCCCGTTATTATTTGGTATTTAGTAAGGTCTACCTGAGTGTAGAGCATCAGGATACCTTCAGCCAATGGAGCTATGCTCTCTTTTTTTACTGCCTGAGGAAATTTTTTTTCTTTCCTTTTTTCCCCCTTTTCTCCCCACTCTAGCCACTTTAGAAATCAGGCCAAAAACCTCACTTGCCTTGGTCCTGTGACACAACAATTTCTGCATTAGCACATCCTTTTCCACTATCTCTGAAAAGTCACAGGCACAAGATACAATTTGCACAGACTTCTTTGTTGCAGGGCAGATTGATAAAAGAGGCAGGAAAGATGAACAGAAGCAACATCTATAAGCTGGAGAATGGTAAATTCTCAGTGCCTTTTGGGGAGGGGGTTGTGCAAGTTAAATAAATTAATTGTTCTCTTTGTTATCAATTGTTCAGGCCACACTACAGCAGAATTTAAAAGGCATGTTCATGCTGCTCTACAAACACCTCATGTACCCCAAATGTTAAGAGCTGAGTGGTCACTAGATTACTGCCTTGAATAGGCTAATATCATAATTCACACGAATCTCATCCTTTCACTCCATGTTTACTGCTGCATTTCTGTAGGTAAGCAGCCATAGTAGGTGTAAGCACAGAAATTAAAATACACATGGACAACCAGACAAAATCATATAGGTGAACATACAAACACGCTGTTATGCATTTAATACCCTATGGAAAAAACTGTGTAAAACCCCAGTATTTGAATTGTGAATTCCAGCCAGCAGAGGATAGGAAAGCTCACATTTGATTTGCTTGTGTTCTTTCTCTTTCCAGACTGCATTACCTGTGAAGCCTGGGGAAACAGCCATCTGACTGTGTCATGAAGGACCCTCTCACTATTGCAGGGCTGGCCACATTGATGACAAGGAGGTGTTTGCTGATGTGTGACAAAGCCTGTGCTCTACAGCACAGGCTAATACAGGGGCTGGGGATAGCCCAGAGGAAAACATCTCCTTAGTTCCCCTGGTAGATGCACTCTTGGTATATCTGAACAAAGGAAAATTAAAGCTTTGCGGAAAGTCTGATATGTCTTTGCCTTTGGCCTCTCTGAACTTGCTTTTATTGCTTTTTTTGTTTGTCCTTATTCTTAAAGTTTAAAAGGGAAGGTGTAAAAAGAAATGTTACTATATGAACAGAACTGTATATTTTTGTATTTATAGACAGTTATAAGAGCTGATAGGCTGAACTGAGGACAGTGTTTTTGCTCAGAGCCATCTAGTTCTCCTGCACTATTACATATCTGGCAGGCTATCCTTCCAAAGCTGATGTTATAACACCAGGAAACCTAATTCACTCATGCTGTAATTCTGGTCCAAAATATACTCTGGCCTCTCATTTCTAGATGGCAAATGATCAGTAGGTGCGTAAGTGTGCTAGCATGTATCCAGATACTGTAGGATCACCTAAGGAATTAAAGCCTAGCCACCAAAGGCATTAAGGAACATTTTTCTTCATAGCCTATCCCACTACTGGTTTTCACTCCATTATTTTCTTCGGGAAGCTGACAGATTTAAATCTGAAGAGACTTTTCTTTCGTCTCGATGAGCACAATGTTGCACATCTCCAGGCCCTTAGAGGATATAATATAATGGACAGAGAGCACCCTTATTGTTCAAAAAGACACCATTAATTCACCAGATTTAAGATGGTAGAGTGCTGATCTTTTTTTTTTTTTTTTTACAATCAATCAACTCTGTATCATTTTAGTCCTTGGAAGTCCAGTGACAAGAGTTTGGCACATTCAGCTTCTATAGAGATGAATATGCCAGACATGTCTATGGGTTTCTCCAAATACTGAGTGAGTAGAGTTGATTTTTTTTTAGCTCACATGTGAGAATCAGTATTTATAGAATCAAAGACCATTTGTATACAGCTGGCTAATGACAGTGCTGTCTTTTTACAGGACAAGTTTTTGCATGATATTCATATTTGAAATTATTTTATATGAATGCTTTATTCTGACTAAATTTAGGCGCAGCCATAATTGCCCTGTAGTATATTTTACGTATTTCATGATATTTAGGATTTAGGATATTTAAGACTGCTACCTTGCCAAAACAAAAAGAAACAAACCCTTGAGCTCGTAATAATGTGTTCTGAGAAAATATTGCAGCTAGATCTGAACAAAGTGGGCACCAGCACCAGTTGGTATGTATCACTGTGGTTTCCATCCAAGTAAAATACCCTGGGTAAGAAACAGATTACATCAGCCTAGAACCAGGGCCATGCTAACACTACTGTCCAACTCCCATCTTCCATTTCCTTTACTTATTTCTGCAACTAGAACATGCCAGCAATGATTATTATTCAAAACACTTCTGCGATGGGCCACTGTAACTCCATTCACATTAATAAAAACATTTCAACTCAAATTAAATGGTTCACAGATCTTCTCAATTATTTAATTCTTTAAAAATGCATTTCATTTTAAACTGAGATCACCAAAAGCAAAGTAACATATTTTTTTTAAAGTCAAAGTTGTTAGAAATTAGTTGCATTGACTTTTTCAACACTTTAACCCTATTTTTTATTTGAAGTATTTACAATATGAAGAAGGTACAAACTACAAAACAAAATTTTCCTAGTAAAAAATTCCACTGAATATACAAAATCCAATTGCATCAATTTTATTATCTCTATTAAACCTTTTAGAAGAGAGTGTTAGATCAGTACATCCTTTACGTTAATCTTTGGAACTGCTCCAGTCTTCAACCAAGCAGTTAATGGGGTAGGACATTAATACATTCAATCTACTAGGAAGGGACACTTTTGAAACTGGCACTCAGTTCTTCATTTGTAATGGAGCTAGGCCTGTGTACACTTCAGGAAAATTACCTTTATCTTCACTGACAACAGAATCTCATTTCCTAGTGAAGTCAACACCTTCCATATACTGCTTTGCACAAAGCTGGTACAGTGGTCTCCAACACACAGCATCCAACAAGAAACTGCCAGAAGAAAGGTTTCTATGTTGGTCTCATACACAGGTCAACATAATATAATATAAGAAAGGACTGCTTTTCATTTGCTAGCTAATACCTGCTATTTTACATCTTTATGAAATGTAACGGTTGCACTTAGAGAGTTCCGGCAGGACATCAGGTTTTAGTGAAATGATGCCTCAGATGAAGCAACATCCTACAGCTCTAACAGTATTCTTTATGTTCTGTTCTACCACTGCACCAGAAATGTTGTTAATATCCTCATGATGCTTTCTTTTCCTTTTTATTTTTTGGCAGTAACCATTAACTGCTATAATGAATACAGGAAGAAATAAAAAGAAATAAAAATTTTCAATAAGATGCCTTCCCAGAGGCAGAAAGGTGGAACTATATTATTCTTCATGAAAAGATGCCAAGGTCTTGTACAGTAAAGTGTTCTGTCTTACAGGCACCTAAGTTGCCACACTACCAAAACAGACTCAAGATTTTTCCTACTTAGACCACATGGTCACGCCATGCCTGGATGCACTGAGCAGCCACACTTCTAAAAAGACACTCTCCTCGAGAGGAAGGGACTACCCAAAGGGAAAAAATAGGTCTACATGTTAACATGAAAGGAAATTCTAGGGGAATCTTATTTCCTTTAGTACACCACGTATTTCTGAAATAATATTATATTTCCCTGATGCAAAATTCAATTATAAACTTCAGGAGACTGACAGAAGAATTGTATTTTCAAATTTTCAGTTGTAATAGATTTCATTCTGCTTGTCTGTCTTTCTTTGAAAATAATTTCATAAAGCATGCTATATGATAAATTTCCCACACTTAAAATCATCACCAAAATGGAAAATGCTTGAGGATTCCACAATCTGTCCAGATCTGTTTACATAAGGATTTATTTTTTTTTAGTAAGGTAAACAATTTTATGAATTTGAAAGACCAAGAATGTGAAACTAGAATATGAGAATGTTTTCCACTCAAAGACTCTTGACATACACATGCACTCAGCGGGATTTCTAACTATATAATATCAGGACTTAAGAAATTTTAAATTATTGATAGCTTTTCAGCAAAATGAAATCAGTTTATTTGTATTTTGTTAGATCATATGAAAATATAAATCCTCATTTCTGGCAGGCAATGTGTACCTCTGAGTGAAATGTATTTGTTTGTTTTTTTTCTCTGATAATGACTAGCTTATGACTGAGAAATTTGTCATCAGTTCTTTTTTGCAACTTACCCTTAAATTAATGCATTATCTTATACATTTCATCATGTAAAAAGAGAGTTTGTTCTACTTGCAAAACATACTTGCAAGAAACACTCCGTACAATCTGAAAATAATAAGTAACATTCTGTCACTGAAAATCTTTCTATCATCTCCAACAAGGTTATATTTGAAAGTGAAATTTTAAAATTTCCAATTGACAATGCTCACTTAACTTCCAAAAGTAACTTCTAAACCCAAGAAAACAGATTAAGGTTTTATGGAGAACATTTCTTTGCATACAAATTTTATATGCTCTCCTTTAAATCTGAAACTTTGCTGTGAAAAATGACTGAATGAGATGAGGAAGTGACTGATTAGGTGGTTTTGGTTTTTTTTTGCTAAACCAAGTAATGATTTAATTAGATGATTCTATTTTTCTGTTTTATGGTTATGTACAGAGCAATAAGCCAGAGATGATTTTTCTTTCTTCCTTTCTATTTATTTGCGGACAGGGACTATAACTGAGAGTTAGCAGTAGTAGCTACAAATAACTGTACATAGTCAGGGTTCCATCTACTTGATTTTAGCATATTTTTTATATTTTCAAATATTCCTAATGTGGTTTCATTAGTGCCTTGAAAATAATCAAGCAAGCAGTGAGTTATTTGCCCTTCAACTGTGCAGAAATGATTAATGATTTGGAATACCTTGAAAGTGCTGTTGTTGGAGGCATCTGTACTCACAGAGAAAAAGATATGCTTTTCAACCAAGTCTT